CTCCAAACTGTATCAGATTCCCGGCCAGTGTCTTTTGTAAAAACAATGGTTGGAAATATAATAAATCAAAACAAATGGCATGTGTATTGTTTTCATTTGTAATTGCACATCACATGGAGTATTTATCACCTCTAAGAAACCTGCAAAGAGAATAAAAATGGCAGATATCCCATGTGGTTAAAGTAGAATGGCGGCCATTTTGAAAAATGGCCGCCAAAGCTGACCAAAGCACAATCTCGAGTGGCTCCATATCTAGAATTGTTCAGAATACATTATTCTACATGTGTACCAATTTTGGTGCTTTTATTAAAAAATGAACAATTGGTTTGCTATGCTGCTGTACTATATTAACCCCTGCGGTATTATTAAACCCTATGTGGGTGCATATATATATATATATATATATATATATACGATTAGGAGCGTGTGCGTAACTTGATGTGTTATTATTGATATCAAAAGAGTCAGGGTGTCCATAACCTGATGCATTATTATTAATATAAAAAGAGTCAGGGTGTGTTATCAATTCACATCAATAGAGGGGGAAAGGGATTGGGAGAGACGATCTAGAGGGAGAGTGTTCGTACAATTTATAGGTATAACACAGTGGCAGAACCATACATGGAAAGATCATTCTGTGCAGATTTCATACAAGCAGGGTTGTGTGATGGGTTATGGCTGTGACAGACAATGAAAGAAACATAAAAAAACTAAATCTCGTCTAAAAGCGATTTGATATCGCCAGTAGCGCACTAACTCACACTAACTAATAAACTCACATCAAGCTCTGGTGTGCACATCTGCAGGTAATCTGCTTTTGGTGTCACTTTATCAGACATTATGTAGCTTGCTATGCTATCTCTTCGGGCACTAGCAGCAGCAGGCGTGTTAAAAGGCTCAAACGCCTGAAAAACAGGTATAGAGTTAGGGATAATAGTAATCGAGCTGTTTATGGTAATTAAAACGAAGAAATCTAAAATGATATGGTTAGTTAATGATTGAAACTTGTTCCATGTTGGAAAGTGACTCGTGCTTGCTCACTTTAATTTCATGTAATGTTGAATAACAGTACCTGATAGCTCTATATATCTGATACTAATTCACAGGATCATGAAAAACCAGACAGAAAGACACGTGGAAACAAAGCTCACGGATACCAGTTTGTTACACAGTGATTGCACATCGTGATTTAACAATTACTAATGAAAACCAGTACACTAACTTCTTTCATTCTTACTCACTGAATAATTATCAGTGCACCCACAAAAAAATCCCATCTGCTTCTCAACCCCCTCCCCCTTACCTCCTCCAGCTTTTTCCCAGCATCCCGGGGCAGAGAGCACTTTATGAGAGCGGCTCCTGTATGGCCACACTTCTCTCCCTGTGTAGGACGACCAGGACCTCGACCCGGGGGAGGTACCGGCTCCTCCTCCTTCTCCTCCTCCTGCTCCTCCTCCTGCCTGAATGACGCACCGTCTTCTGCGAAGACGAAGGCCTCATCTATGCCAGCGTAGTCGCATGGCGGCGGCGTCAGAAGGTCGACGGAGTCAGAGTCCTCCTCCTCCTCCTCCTCCTTCTCCCCTCCTCTCTTCCTCCATCTCCCCCTACTGAAGTCAGTACTGGACAACGGCTCCAACGTGGATCGCGTCGACACGAGAGGCAAGTGTGTCTCCCCCTCCTCCTCCTCCTCCTCCTCCTCCTCCTCCTCCGTGACGAGCGTGGGAGTCGGGGCGGTGCTGGGCGACGCATGCGGGCGACCGTTCCCGCCGCATGCCCGTTCCCCGACGCACGACCCCTCCGTGCGACTCCCTCGCGCCTTCCGCTTGCTGCCGACCGAACTCGCCGATGACGTCGGGCCGCCACCGGGACTCGGCGACCTGCTGTCGGTGAGGTCGATCGGCGAGCGCGCGAGCGTCGGTCCACCGCGGCGCGTGTCCAGAGGCGGCGCGAAGCCACGGCGAGGCGGAGACGCAGTGGTGACGAGAGGTCCCGCACGCCTCGGGGTCTGCGTCGGGCCGCCACCGGGGTCGTGGGAGGTCAAGGGAGGGGGAGATGTGTGGGGCTCGGCGGGGAAGGGAGATTCAGCGCAATCGGAAAGAGAGGGAGATGCAGCGGGCCGAAAAGAAGGGGGAGACACAGCGCAATCGGAGGTAGAGGGAGATGTAACGTGATGGAAGGGAGGAGAGGTGGGAGGCTCAAAAGGAGAGAGAGACATGGCACGCTCGAAAGGAGAAGGAGATGGAGCGGGTTCAAAGGGAGGGCGTGACATGGCACACTCGAAAGGAGGGGGCGATGCGGGGGGCTCAAAGGGATTGGGAGACTCCGCGGGACTGAGAGAATGGGGAGACACAGGAAAATCGGAGGCTGAGGGAGACAGGGCGCAATCGAAAGGAGAGGGCGACGATGCAAAGAGGTCGGGCGTGGTGTGGCGCGTGCGTGCAGGACTCGCGCGCTGCGTCGCGGACGAACCGTCGCCGAATACAGGGCTCGCTCGGCGGTCGCGCGGCGATGCAAGACTGCCACAGCTGCTCGCGGGGGTCGCGCAGAGGTCGGACGCGAGCGGCGTCGCCACGGCGATGGCCGGGATCGCTCCGTAGACGCAGACGACTTCCGGCGAGGCAGGCGACGCATCGCAGGCCGCCGGGCTCACCGACCGATCCGGCGCGGCGTCTGGCGAAAGTAATGAGACGTCGTCAGCTCCCGGGCTCGCGGACTGATCCGCCACGGCGTCTGGCGAGGGTGGTGAGTGTACGCACGCGCGCAGTCTCGTAGATCTGTCCCCGACGGCATCTCGTGCGGCCGACGATCCTCGACTGTGGGGACCGCGGCGACTGGCGTGTCGGTTCGTAGATGGATTCGGCCGAGGGTCCGGCGAGAGAAGCGACACCTCGCTGGTCGATGGGCTCACGGATCGAGGATTCACGATCATCACAGAGTCCTCCCCGCTCAACATCGCATCGCGATCGCGTGACAGACCGACAGATCGATTCCGAATGAGGTCCGGCGAGGGTAGTGGTGCGTCGCTGGTCGGTGGGCTCACAGAGCGACTTCGGCCAGCGTTAGGTGAGGGGAGGGGCACGTCGCTGATCCCTGGGCTCATGCATCGGTCCAGCACGCTGTCCGATATGTCCTCCAACGTCCTGTCGCTGGTCGCTGGGCTCATCGATCGATTCATGATCGGCACGCCGTCTAGATATTCTGCGTAAACCAGCTTGACACTCCTGCATGGGCTCACAGATGGATTTTGCCTAGCATCTGGTGAAGGTAGCGATCCATCGCTGGCGTGTACGCTCACAAAGCGATTTTGCCCAGCATCTGGTGAGGGTAGTGGACCATCGCTGGTGTGTGGACTCACAGATAGATTCTGTCGAGGATCTAGTGAGGGTGGTGACCCATCGCTGGCGTGAGCGCTCACAGATCGATTTCTCCCAAAGTCCGGTGAAAGCAGCGGCCCTTCGCTGGCACGTGGCAACAAGGGTCGATTCCGACCAACGTCTGGCGTGGGCAACGACACATCGCTTGTCGACGGGCTCAGTCCCTCCTCCGCTCCCGCTCCTTCTCGCAGACGCACCTCCTCCGCGCCACGCCGGTGCTGCCCCCTGTCGCAGCGTCCGCTTGGGTCGTCGCTGGAACTGACGTCGACGGCCGAGCCGGCGCTCTCTCCCCGCCGGATCCCCTGCGTGCATGTGAATTGGAACAGGTCGGCGTACAGGTCGTCGTCGTCGTCGTCGTCGTCGTCGGTCCGCTCCGCTGGACCTCCGTCGCCGGCGCCACCTGCTGAGAGGTCGGGAGGTTCATCTTGCGCCGGCAGCTGAGTCCCGCAGGCGTCGGCGAGCGACTGCAGACCGTACCTTCAGATAGCAAAGACGACGTCGTCGTGTTAGAAGCAGTGTTGTAGGTCTCAAGGCCGGTTTCTTTGGTCTCGGCCTCGGAGTGCAATGACTCGGACTCGGACTCGAACTCGAGGACTCGGGTCGAGGCCGGCTCGAGGCCACTACATAGTACATAACTGTACATATTGTAAACACTCAGTTGACAAGAATTTAAAACTAAAACTCCTACCTAAATTTATGCGACTAGCCGTTTATTCACATTGATTTTTGCCAGTTGAGTGTGTGGAGCTTAGCCTAAGATCTCGGGTGTTGAGAGTTTCGCGCCGTCATCTCGTCTACTTATTTTATTATTACCTGACAACGTCGCCTCCTTGAAATTTTGCTAGAAATTTCAAATTTTATAAACAAATTTAGACTCACGGTTTTAGGTTTCATAGTGTAGGGTTTGGGGTAGAAATTATAGTTTAGGTATTTTTTTTATCAAAACTGGACTCGGACTCAGACTCGGACTCGGGGGGTGCGGACTCGGGGGGTGCGGACTCGACTACAACACTGGTTAAAAGGCATGAACCTAGAAGGCACGGCCTAGAAGTCACGTGTTTACTTCGAATCGCAAAGAACTCCTATGGGAACTCCTATGCAGGTTGCAGGGAGGTTGTGCGGACGATGGAACTTAATGTATTTTAAACTCGCTGTCACTCATAAGTCACGGGTTTCACCCCAGTATTGGACAAACTCCGTCATCGATTATAAACGTGTGACATCAAGAGTCGACAGTAATAATGATTACATCCTACGACTAATTACCAGTAATTACGAATAATTACCACGGTGATGCAATGGAAAGTAAGACATCATAACGAAAATTATTACATGCAGGGCCATTGTAATATGAAATATCATAAAAGGAACACATTGCCCCTGAACGGTTGGTTACCTGTTGGCGATTTCAAGGACCTTTGAAGCATTGTTATGATCAACATCATGGGTAGAGCCAGAGTATAGGAATTTCAGAACACACATACAAGTGACGCTAGTGTAGTCCCTCCAGTCGAGGCTATCTATATCTTTCACCATCTGAAAGTTCAAATGCTGTTTTGAATAGAAATAACACCATCTATTGCTCTATACATTAAAATAATTTATCACGTATTTAGGAATTATTTTCAACAATGTTATAAAATTATATTGAAAGTTTATTTTTTTAAATATGTTATCATGTTATTTTAAAATGTTTTTTTACCAAATGTCACTATACGTCAGCAGAATGTAGGACAAAGAGCATGGGCAGGGCTTGCAAATCTATAATCCCTTATGGATTTCTACCAGCTTCGGGCGAGCGGGCAAGCATTCGTTTTAAGCACTGATGGGTGTAGGATTATTGCAGCAGATGCCGCGACAGTAAACGAACCCCACGTCCTCGCCAACAGTAAACGCCACCAACCTGCCAGAGCTCTGCCGATCGCATCGCAAACACGAACTTGTGAGCCGGAATCCGCCGTGTCTCCGATTGAACGGTGACGTCGCTCGCCGCGTCGTTACCGACCATGCTTGCGAGACGGGCGGCCATGTTGTTGTCGACCTTCGCCTCCCGCGGAACCGAGGAGACGTCACCTTCGTCGCTCTACGAATAAACATACATATATGGCTATATTGCAGTGTTGGTAGAATATGGGGAGCACTGTTAAATTGTTTCTCGTTTGCATTCACTCGTGCTTTTAGGGGTGGGTCGGTAGTTGGGACTTCTTATGAGTCATGTGCACAATAAATATATCTTGTGAATATATATAAATAATACATGTAATATATAAACGGCATATTATATATAAATGTATATATATATATAATTTGCTATGTTGTATATGTGATACATGTATTATTTATGTATTTTATAAGAATAATGTGTAAATTATTATTACAGGTTTTTAATGATTCTTACTGCCATGATTTTGACGGGACGTACGTGTTAGTCGTGGCAAATATAGAAACACTTTGGTGAGAACCAACCTAAGATCAAGTTGGATTTCCAGTTTACATTTCACACAGCAGGGTTTTATTGTTAGGTTGTGATAAACTTTCGCGCGTCTATTCCTTTGTTACCTCAAAGAGAAATCCGGCACAAGAGCTATTTAGCTGATGTAAAGTCTTGTCTACAACAGGTGGCGCTTGAGATTGACTTGCGAGGTTTGCCAATAACTCGGCAGCATCATCGTTTGATAGTACATTGGTTGCAGCAGGTTCCTGGGAAAAACAAACATTCTCATCACATTCTGCCAGCATTCAAATGCACTTGGTTTGCGCATCAAAAATGCAACGACTCAGACCACCACTTAACAAGGTTGAAGTCCATGCATTCAAAATTCGTTTAATGCACATCTACAGATAATACCAATAATAATCTATATATCGTTATTTTGCTTGTACCTGGTTTGCAAAGTCCTGTGTTTGCTATTGTGAATATTCCCTGTAAAATACGTACCATCTTAGCTGATGGCATGGTAGACAAGCGGCGCCCATATATGTTTGAAACATCTTTCAGTTTGCTGCCAGCCGCAACCTTGCATGGTGAGATAGGTGGGATGAGGCAAGGAACATAGTACTGATCACGTTGTTTCTGAGTCCAAGCACTGCAGTGTGGCAACAGGGAAAGTCTCCACAGTGGACACACCTACAGGGAAGATAGGAGATAATGAGGCAGAGTAACAAAGGTTAAAATATAAAAACCAGTTAAGTTCCAGCCGAATTTCACAATTTTGCCCACGTACTTGAGATAATATCCTACATTATTACCAACTTACATTGTTTGATTGGCAGACTAGGACTAACCACTAATCCACGAGTACACATGCCCTTGGCTGATACATGAATTATGCTATTCCTATAAATTATAGGTTGTATATGTAACCCTCCCTGTCCCACATAAAAAAAACTTGATTATTGAGAGTATAAATGTATAAATATTAGCCTTCAAAGATTTACATCGTCATTTACTACTGCTTACGTTCTCGTCTTCAGACAACTGGTTATCTTCCAGACAGATGGAGCCACGAGTACACGTGTACTTGCTCGGTAGTCTGCTGGCACGAAACAGTAAATCTCTTGCTTCTGTGTCCGAGTAGTCATCCCACTGTGAAACATAGTCATGGTTCATACAGAACTGAAAATTTTTCCAGCTATACTCGTGTCTATAGCTTTTTAAGCTCATTTAATGCAATTTTTATTGAGGTTTGCACATTTATTGATGGTACAAAATTTCTTTTCATTAAAGGCAAGGATTCTTTCTAAAAATTCAAGGACATTTTCATGAAATTCAAGGACATTTTCATGAAATTCAAGGACATTTTCATGAAATTCAAGGACTTTTCAAGCACAAAATCAACATTTACTAAATTCAAGTACTTTTTAAGGACTCCGCTCAAATTCAAGGACTTTTCAAGGACTGTGCAAACCATGATATTTCACGCAAGTCTAGCGCACAAAATATGAAATATAGCCCATGCAAACATGCACTGCTTAAAGATGAACAAATAAATAATAAATGTTACTGGAAATGACAGAGATCAACAAATTGGCAAAATCTCATCACTGCTTCAAAATGCTATTATCAGTGATCCTTTGTTTGGGATGGAATCTTTGTTCTGGGACTGAATCGAGAACTAATCAGGTGAATTCTTCCTCACAGCAATCATACCTGCGAAACCAGTACTTTTACTCGTTGATCCAGAATTCTAAGATTCTCTTCTCTGCTTCTTTGCAGGAGAAGTGGCACCGTTTCCTCTCTCTTCTGCTTGCGTCTTTGTTTGACTATGAACAAACAAGGGCATAAGCCGCATATGCACAAACACTGACAAATGTCCTGGTACAGATTTTTACACAAAATGAACCAGCACAAGCACACAAACACCTGCATTTACTAACTCACTCACTCACTCAATATAAAAAGATTGCATACGCAACCCGGCATCAAAGCAGCCTCACCTTTCCTCGCGCCGTCCCTTCCGCCTCCGCGCACGAGGTCGCTAGGCTGTCTATCCACCCAGCTAGCAGGCTGCTGCTGCTGCTGGTGGTCCTGCTCCATCAGGGAGACAGAGAGCGCCATCGCAGTGTGCACCTGTATCTGCTCATCGAGCGCGTTTGTCGGCCGAAGTTTCTTCGCCCACCTCAGGGCCGCGTTGGACTTCGTCGCCGCGGCTCGTGGTGCCACCTGCAGGGTTCCCGCGGCTTTCGACGCTTCGAAGTCGGCCGTCTGTTTCTGGCAGATCTGGATGAGGTCGACCACAGCTACGTTCTTAGACAGTGCGCACTTCTTCAGATGCTGTTTCCTCGCCTGCAATTGTAATGATATTATATCATGTCATATCATATCGTATCGTATCGCATTACATCTCATCACATTACGTCACGTCATGTCACGTCACGTCACATCATATTATATCAGGGGTTAATAATGACAAATTTGTCATTTAATTGTTAATTTGTCATTATTAACCTCTGATTATATCATATCATATTATCTGTAATATATAATCATACTAACGTTTTGACACAATTCAAGTCAAACTTATATAAGCTCACTCTTAAAACGTTTTACTGTAACTTGTAAGCCGACTCTTATAGTACAACATCCATAACAAATGAATTTAAAATTTTTAGGAAACATCACCATATCTTCAATTTTGTGTAAATAAATTGTTTAAATCTTGGTAAAGGCAAATTTATGGTCTGCATCGCAAAATCGTCGGTCAGAACTTCCAGATTTCACAGGATAGCAATTCCGCGACGCGAGTGGTTCTCACCGCCTCCGTCTTTAGCTTGCGGTCACAGAGCGGACAGTCCGGGACTTTGCCCCTCAGCAGCTCTCTCTGGCTCTCCTTCTGCTCTCTCTGGTCAAGGCATCTACGCCATCACAGACCGATGCCGCAGAGCGAACGAGTATATGTATCAGCAATCACAAACGAAGTTAATCGGCAGTTAACGTAACATCGCACGCATTGTCAGAGCTATACGTGCTACACGCTGAATTGTGACATTCGGCCAATATAGTGGTGATGTAACCACGCAAACCCGACACGAAACAATCAGGGTTCTCCCCTACGTTGCGCAAACGGGGCGCGCGCGCCCCGTTTGGGAAAACTCCCCCCTGTTTGAATCATTGCGCCCCGTTTAAATTACCTCCGCCCCGTTTAAGTTCCACCACAATAAAAGTTTGCCAGCGCGGGAATCGATCGGCAAGAATTGCCGTTCGACCAGGACATCTGACGCGTGTATTTTTACCGTACCACGCATGCACTGCAGACAGTACACAAGTTAACCTGACAATGCACAGTTAACCTGTCACTAACTGTACACCGACTCGGCTATCTTATATATACAAGAACCCCAAATACCGTCTATGGTGTGGTGGCGATTTTACGCATTAATTAGTCGTACGGTAAAAATACACGCCCCCCGGACCCCCCTAGTTTCCCCCCTCCCCCCTCCCCCTAGTTTTCCCCCTCCCCCTCCCCCCTCCCCTTCCCCCCTACCCCTCCCCTCCCCCCGTTTGAATTTCATCCTGGGGAGAACCCTGACAATAAACAAACTTCACGACATATTCCGACGATGAACGACTGACTGCCTACTGCCAACGTAACCACTGATAATTTCTGCTTGGTTTGCAGATAACGCACGTCTACACCGGTTGTTTACTCCCCATAACTGTATCAGGATGATTGCTGAAGGCACACATGGGGAGGCGATGTGTAAACCAACCTATTCATGTGTTGTTCCCTCCTCACATAGCTGAGGTGGGCGAGATTTTTGTTGCAGATCTGGCACAAGTACGAGCCGTCTTTCCCGATGCCGTCCGTCTGTGCAAGCATTTCCGAATCTTTGCTGAATGAAAGAGAAATGAAAATCAGATGCTATTTATTCTTTTTATTCATGTATCTCTCTTTCTCTTTCTCCATATTTATCTACCTGTCTACCTTCCTCCCTCCCTCTCCCTTTCCTCCCCTCTCTCTCCCTCTCTCTGTCATCCTCTCTTTTTCTCATTATCTCTCTCTCTTCCTCCCCCCCCCTCTCTCTCTATCTCCTCTCATTACTCTATACCAATGTTCTAGCAGGCAATGGTTACATGACTAATTGACTTACTACTGGATTGCTCGTGCATACTCCTCATCAGACTGCATCAGCTTCTCACTATCACAGCTATCCAACCTTCCTCCGCATCCCAGCTGCTCTTCGTGACTGCACTCATCTCTATCCGACCATTCAAGCACACCATCGACGCCGTCCAACGCGCGATGACGCGAGGACGAGGCAGGAGCCGAGCGGTCGGGGTTATCGGACGACGATTCTCCGTCCTCGCCGCATCTCGCAGTCAGCTTCACTCGCCTGAAGCTCTGCAGGTACTCGACTATGTCCTGCTTCCCGCTGACGGTTTCCGCCGACGATCGCGCGTCGTCGGCATCTTCGCCGGCGGGAACGGAATCGTCGTCGATCTTGAGCGGACACAGCGAATCGGACGACGGCGTGGACTGCGGCGCTTCGCCGGCGCCATCTGACGTCGGAATTTTCGCTCTCGGCTCGTGGCTCTCTCTCGTCCGCGCCGCGTTCTTCGACGCCGTCTTGGTCCGTCGCAGTCTCGCGTGTCGCGTTGTTCGCTTGTCGCGCGGTTCCTTGAACTCGTCGCTCTCCCTTCTCTCCGTCGATCCGCACGACATCGTGAACCATCCGGCGGCGGCCGCCCCGGGTCTCCACTCTCCAACGTTCCGATTTCCGAAAATCAAACGCGAATGTTGCAGCACATCGGTAACACTATGTTTACTACTCTCTAAAATCTAGTCAACTTTTAGATTTAGTACGGCATTGCGCGCATTACGAATAATGCGGCCCGCGGTGAAAAAAACACTGGGTTCTCAAGTATTTAACGCTGGCGAAGCCTCTCAGGAATGTCGAGACGTCGGATGTTAAAAATTCCCTTCCCTGTGTTGGCCCTCTTCGCGCTTCACAAAGTCATCCTTCGACTTTTTCATCATGTCTATCGAGGCAATGAAACGTCCTCTTTCCCGCATGGCTTCCTCTTTCTCCTTATCAATGTTAAGAAAATCCATGAGTTTCTGGGGTCTTATTGCAAATCTGAAACACAATATATTTGAATGCGTTTATAATCACAACCAGATCGCATAAACCTAAACACACGCATTTTCGATCGAGGTCCTTACATAATTATTTCCGTATTATAAGTCATTACTAATAAATTCACAGATCGGCGAAACCAATCTCACTATTTCGCTTGCTTTCCCTTATTTTACGTCTTTTCAACCATAACCTTTTACGCAACCCTAGCAACGTGGGGGAAGCCTAGCAGTAGTAACGATATAGAATTAGAAAAAGTAGAAGAGAAATAATGAGAACTTTCGATGTCAGGATATATATTTACCCCAGTGCAACAGCGAATGCAGCAGACACAGCAATAACGCCAAGAGCAAAAACATTACTGGCTCGGAACGTCGGGGTTCCTCTGGTCTGTCTTTTTCTTTGCGGATCCATCTGCAATTAAACTATCTGCCAATGAGTTGTTGCAAGCTCGTTTGCAAGCGGCGCTGAGTACATATAGTATAGTGGTTGGTCATTCATTGTCTGTTTCTGCAGTGTCTTCTGCATCTGCATGTTTTGTCAACTTCGGCACTTGGGTCACGCAGGGGCCTGTGATGGCTATAGATTTAGTTATTTACTGAGATCATGAGATGGGTCCCCCAATTCACCTATAAACAATCAATTTGCGCGCAAAGCTCCTGGGCCTTTAACTTAAGTCCGTTTACGTGGTCACATTACATAACATTGATTGATACTTCTTCTACTTCTACTTCCACTTCTATACTGGACAGTCCGTAAGGAATAAACGTCCAGGGAGTGCACGAAACTCCAGGTACGTTTGATGAAACGATTCGTGTTTGCAGGTAGCGTGCTGCATGGTAGACGACTGGGCCCTAAAATAGTGTCAGATTATTACTATCGTTTTTCATAAGCTTAGCTAACTAATGACTAAATGATTCATTGCCATTGGAAGCAATTAATTTACTGTACCGTAACCAAACGTAGTTACGTATGCGCTATACTAGGGGTCTTAGCTCCAAGAAACGGTAATTGCTACGGCGCTTAGAATTGTAGTATTGTTTACTACCCCCCCCAAATATCGTCTCGAACAGCCTCGGTCGGCTAACTAGTGTGAGGGTAGCTGATAGGCTAACTAGTGGTCGGGGTAACTAGTGTAGTGAGTAGTGTACGCACTCATATACTATAAGTTATAACCCGCTGCTCCAAACCAGAATGAGACGGGATACTAGAGAAGCGTTGCCGAAAGGCACAGTTTCAATGCCGAAGCGCTGAACGCGCGATCTTCGCGCAGGTTCCGCGGCAAGGCGCACGCGACTGCGGGAACGGCTCCTAACGACAGTATGCCTCAGCGTGCGGGAGCGGTATGGATCCGTGCGCGTAAATAATTGGCGGGCGCACGGGATCTCATAGCTGCGCCAGCGAAGCAGTTCGCGCAATTTTTAGTGGGGACACAGAGGGTAGACATTTGGGACGTCAACAGTGTTCAGCTTGTTATAAAAACTGTAAACCGAGTAATCCTGTTCGTTAACCGCGCGAGCTGTGTCACTCCATGCGAATGACAGAAAGACTGTCGAAATTCTGACACTCTCGCTGAACCTTCTGGCCCAGTAATGGAAACGGCTGTCAGCATCAGGAAACACTCTACCGGCTGCATTCGCGCCCTAGGCAATACGCTGCGGCAACGTTTTTTGCAACGTTCCCAATGGCGAGGCTCGTAACGGCATTCGAAAGCAGTGCGCCGGCCTGCCCGCCGCTATAGCTCTATAGACTTCGCCAGCTTCCGTCGCACCTCTCGCTTAGCTTAGTCACTCAATGGCTAATTCGAGGTGAGAGCGAGTCGTAGTCTATATATACATATAGCCTTTGCACCTCGCGCAACCTTCTTGAAAGAGAGTAGGTCCCCATACTAGAGAACATTAACAATTTTCGAAGATAAATATATTTCGTCATTTAGTTAAGGCAGTTATATTTATTTGAAACGGCCTTTTGCAAGTGTGCCTGTGTCTAGTATAGCCTAGGGCTATTCCAAGCCCTAGCAAAGAGGCGTTTCTGTGCTAGTCGCCGACGTAGTCTAGGTAGTACTAGTGGTCTCAAGGATAGAGAACATGGCTCCCAACATATAGTGGGCCCCAATCGTATGGCATATGGGCACATAAAACAATGTGATTTACATCAAATAATATAATATTATATCAATATAGATAGGTTAGGGTTATCTGGGTTAGGCGTTCTGTCCGATCTATTAGTAAGTTTACAGTACTCTGTTCATGTAGGTATCTTAGTAGTAATTCTTATTGTAAACATGTACTTCACTTCAACCGGTGCCGGTGCGTATGTGGTTTGCCGTTTTTGCATATATTCCATCGTACCAGGCCACTGGCAGCAACAATCCAGAGAGACACTGGTTATTACATTCCACACGCTACGGCTCACGCAATCACTTGTTATTACTACAAGTAACATGTTACAATACATGACTACTAAGTACTACTACCTAGTACTAAGTAGTAGTACTACGTAATAGTTACACAAACTTTAACTATAGCTTACAAGCACGTACTAGTAACTAGTAGCTGATGAACTACCAGGACGGCTACCCTGCCGCTGCTGTACGCCTACTGCTCTGCTATATATATACCCATCTCCTTGAAGTCTGAACGTCAGTGGATGCGAAACATGCACAGCATCGGGGGTATATAACAGACGCCTGCCAGCACATACATCAGTGTAAAGAACCATAAATCAGTTCACGGTCTGTTCGTGCTCACACAAAGACCGCGGTACGGATCGTTCATTCGGCGCGTCTCTCAAGTCTCTTTCGCGTACATCTGGCCTAAAGTTAGTGGAGCGTCGTCGAAACTCTGCACCGCGGGGCAGCTCTAGTAGCATTCAGTGTAATACAAATTCGCATAAAAGTCAGGTCAGGTCTGCCGTGCTCACGAGACTGGTACGGACGTTCATCATCACCTCTTCGGTGCAAGTGCTCTTTTCGCTAGCACTAAAGCTTAGTGGAGGTGTCAAACTCTCGCACCGGCGGTGGCAGTCTACCAAGAAAATTCTTTGGGCAAAATCCCTCGCACCGAGAGAGCTGCTCGTCCACGCCATCTATCGGCCGCGATATCTACGAGAATCAAGTGTCAGGGCGTGCTAATTAAGATAAATTAGAAACAACTCGCTTTTCTAGAAAAATACAAGCTAACGCAGCAACGAAAACAAGTAGCAATAACGACCCATATGGATTTATTCTCGGCCCTACGTCTCCACAGTCCGAAAGGCTTCTGCAATCACCAAGAACTGCTCAATTGACCGATTACAGGGCACATTTGATATAACCGCGTGACATATGGTTTCTGAAATATAGACAGCGAGTATCTCATATATGGCGCCACATGGGTGGTCGCGTTCCTCTGCTTCGCGCGTATATCCGGCCTGCTAGACTGTCCAGCCCCAAGCCATCCCGCAAGTGCTCTTTCCCGGACACCAGCACTTGGCGGTTGGTAGAGTATGACAGTAGGCTTAGTCTTACAGTTGCTGTACCTGTTTAATTGTGATCTTTTTCAATGTAAGAACAGCGAAATGTAAGGAAAAGTATGAATATTCAAGAATAACTCCCAATACTTTGGTTCTGAACTGCAATCTGAACAGGACCTCAAATCCACTTTGCCTCCTCAAACTATTTGCCTTCATATCACGGCGCTCCTCGCCATCTATCGGTTCCACAAAACTAGTTCGTTCTCCTCACGTGTGCTTAAGCGTTGCATTGGCAGGCAAGACTGTTGCCAGCCTATACTGACTCGCGCATTCAATTCAATACACCACATACGCATATATGTATATAAGAGATTAATAAAAATATTATATGTATTCATGCACATAAGATTTATTCATCAAAAATTTTAAATTGCAAATTCAACATTACATCATATCCGGAGTAGCTAATAGGGAATTATTCCTACACAATTAACTACTCCTGATTATATGTTACTACTCATACATCTCCACTGCAAGTACTTCTCGACAAATCAAAATCAGGCAAATGGCAGATAAAAACTATAAATGCACTCATGATTTTCTATCACTTATTATAAAATATACTAATTATTTCTGATGTTCCAGAGAAAATATTCACTGTTGCTCTTGACTTAGTGGCCTCTTCGACAGTGTGATAATTATTCATTTTTATTTGATAAAGAAAGAGAATTTAGTATAATTTTCATGACACGTCCTTTAGCATATGTTCTATGTATCTACCAAATTGCTAGCAGTAACAAAGCAGCAGAGCGTGACACTATTCCTCAAGCTCTGCCCTTGTCGAATTCCGAAGAACACTGGCATAGAGAGCGATGCTTTATCGATAACCTTATCGGAATCACAATGGTACTGCTTGGGCATGCAGTAGGATTCTCGTACAAGATGGAATTTGTTCCTAACACAAACCATTAATATGAAAATTATATCTGATAACGGCATAAGTCCAGGGTGAGTATCGACAAGATTCACGGTCACTTTTCGTTTTCACTTAGCAAGTCACGCTGATTATAATAAGCACATCATCTCTCGTCTCTCTCGCTCTCTCTCTCCTCTCTCCCTCTCTCTCTCTCTCTCTCCTCTCGTCTCTGCTCCGTCTTCTCTCTCTCGTCTCTTCTCTCTCCTCGGTCTCCTTTTGGCTCTCAGCGTGGCGTGCTCTCTTCGGTGTTCTTTTTACTCTCGTCTCGGTTGCGGCTGCGGCGCTTTCGGTCCTGCGTCTCCTGCCGGCCCCAGCCTGCCGGGCCCGCTCGGCGCCCGGCCCTGCCTGTCGTGTGTGAGAAAGCAGAGAGTGGGAGGAGCGAGAGCACGAGAGAGAGAGCAGAGAGCGAGAGAGGAGAACGTAGAGGGATCCTCGAGATCGACATCTTGTCACCTCGAGAGAGTCCATTCGACTTGCATACTCTCTGTAACCTCTTCAGGCACCTGGTTGCTCCGGCCGCGGGCCGGCCTCTCTAGGGTGTCTCTTTACTTCTCGTCGTTCTAAGTCTGTCTCTTCCTTCTCCTCTCCTGTGTTGCCGTCTA